GCCACTCGAGAACCTTTCTTCCCCAACGGTTATCGGTATCTTGTATTAACTGATGTTTGTGCTTTCAGTCCAGAGACTATTAAAGCTTCATCTGACGCAGAACCGGTGGGCTAGCCAGAACCCACGGGTTTGGGCCCTCCGCTGTGGGTAGGGCCGCGCATGTGCTCATGCGTGCGTTTAACTACGGCATGTCATCTAAGGGCCATCGAAGTAGCGGTGCGGACCGAGACCCCGATGGCCGTCGACTGTGTTTTTAGCTAATCGGTGGCTGGGGGCGGTGAGAACCGCCCTGGAACGCGGCTGTATCTTGTGTACGCGCTGTGTTGGTCTCGCCGTGCTCGGAGGCGAGGGCGAACTAATGTTTTTGTTGCTACACTAACTGTGTGTGTAGTGTTATCCGGCGGGACCCCCGACGGTGGGTCCGACGTACCTAAGTCCCCTTCCTCGACCGGGTCGATGAGGACGTTTCGCGGGCGCCGCTTGTTGACGCTCGCGTTTAGATCGGGTTGGTAATTTGCTGCGCTTACCGTGATAGCTCAGTGTCCGGGCGCTCGCCTTTAATTCAATATACTCGAGCAACCTGAGTTCGATCCCCGGTGCCGGCACCAATGAAGTTTTTAACTTTAAGTGCTGACTTATCACGTGCTCCGCGGTGAAGGAAAACATCGTGAGGAAACCTGCATATTTTCGAAATAATAACAAAAAATATTTCGAAGATATGTGAAGTCCGCCAATCCGCAGTGGGGCCGCGTGGTGGACTATGCCCTGATACCCTCTGTATAGAGGAGGCCTTTGCCCAGCAGTGGGACATGTATAGGCTGTTACTTTACTTTACTTTTTTTACCACCTTGTTTGAGTTGGGATGATGTTCGGCTCTATCGAAGAACCGTTTGGTCAGGTCTTTGAAAAATTCGCGAATCATCGGGAGTCTGCAATCACTGTGTAGGTCGACGTTGCGTTGATACCACTGCGCACCGGTTGCGCGGCGGATGAACTTATTTTGCACTACTTGCAACTTGTGCAAGCGAGTAGGGTGCGTGTGGGCGAAAATCATGCATGCGTAGGACATGATTGGCCGTACGCAAGCTTTGTATAAAAGTAATTTGTGTCTTAAGGACATTTTACTTGACTGGTTAGTTAAAGTGCTTAGCCGGCCGGAGACGAACGCGGCTCTGTTACGGACGTTATTAATATGCGCTGTGAATGAAATACGCGAGTCGAAAGTGACTCCTAAATATTTTACCTTTTTCTCCCAGGGGAGCGGTTGGCCATAAAGAGATATTTGCCCTAGCTTTTTGCATTGGCGACGACCTTTATAAAGATGTGACGGGTAAGTACTTCGTGTGAAGTGAATCGCCACACTCTTTTCGGGATTTACTTCAATTCTCCATTTGCGGAACCAATCGCCGAGGCGGTTGGCGGCGCTTTGGAGTCGAGTGGTTAGTTGACTAAGGTTGCGGTCTGAATAAAAGAGGGCCGTGTCATCCGCGAAAAGCGCGAGATTGACGTGAGGGTCTTTTGGTATATCGCTCGTGTAGAGCGTAAAAAGTAAGGGTGAGAGGCAGGAGCCTTGTGGAAAGCCAGCCGTGAGGCGGCGGCTTGTGGAGAGGGCACCTTCAACTCGATATCGAATGGAACGGTTCGACAAGAAGGCCTGAATGGTGTGTACAAGCCTGTCTGGCACTTTGAGTGAGAACAGCTTGTAAATCAAGCCGTTGTGCCAGACTTTGTCGAATGCCTTTGCGACATCGAAGAAAAGAGCCCCCGTGCTAATATGTTTAGGGTGATTTAGGCCTTTTAGGATATGTTCCGTTAGGCGGTATAATTGATCGGGACAGGAATGTCTTGTTCGAAAGCCGAATTGTTCCGCCGGCAGAAGGCCGTTGGAAAACACGTGGTCTTTGAGCCTGTTTAATAGAAAGCCGCTCGTAAAGCTTCCCCAGGCAACTGAGGAGGCTGATGGGACGATAACTAGAGGGCTGATTGGCTGGTTTATTCGGCTTGCGAATGCCGATAACCGTGGCTTCTTTCCAGTCGTCCGGAAAGGAACAACTGGAGAGTAAAGTGTTGTAAATGGTCGCCAGTAAACCGATAAGTGGGCCAGGGAGAGCTTTAAGAATTTTATTACTAATATTGTCTGGGCCCGGGGCGGATTTGGGTTTTAAATTTTTGATAATATCTTGGACCTCTTCGGGGGTCACTGAGTTTAATGGATCGCCTTCCGGTGGAAGCGCAGCCCTAGTTTCGATAACGCGGTCCACCTCCGTTAGGTGGGCTGTGTCGATGTGTTCGCGCGATGGCGTACATTGCTGCTCTAGGTTGTCCGCAAGGCATTCGGCTTTTTCGAAGTCATCTAGGGCTAATGAAGTGCTAATAGGCATTGCTAACGGCGGTAGGGATTCGCGGGGCTCTGCTTTCAGACTGTGGCCAACCGCCAGTAGGCGGTGTGCGATGGCTCGATATCCTCTAGTAGAGTGTCCCACTCGGTATGTCGGTGTTCCGATACGCGATCTTTAACTTCTAGCTGAAGGCGTCGAAGTAGGGTTCGGTTCGATTCTGATCGGTATCGGTCGAAAGCTCGTTTGGCTGCATTTTTTTGTCTAATTAGCAGTCTTAGGTCGGGTGGAAAGTTAAACCGTCGGTCGCCCGACAGTTTCACTGTTCGTTCCGAATCTGCAACTGCGGAAGTGATAGATGCTCGGGTAGGTTGGCGATGTACTGGGGGTCCAAGGCCTTGAGTTTGACCTCAAGGCGATGCCAGTCCACTACGGTTTTGGTCGGAGGGACCGCGCCGGCGTTCTGGCCCAGTTTACACAGGACCGGCCTGTGGTCCGATTCTAATTCTTGGATTGTCTCTATCGACGCGATGTCGAGGGAGACCTCCTTGAACAACATGATATCAAAAATACTCGGTGTCGAATGCTGGTAATCGTCCACCGTAGGATATCTTGTGGGAGTCACAGGAGCGATTATGCTGTAATTTAAATTGTTAGATAAGTTAAAGAGCTGCCTACCGTTGTACACTAACACTAAACTATTGCACTACTTGCACAAATATTTAAATTGCAACCAAAGTTGCGAGTAGCGTCTAATTCGGGTGGCATTTGCCCTCCGTCTTAGAGAGACGTCCGTTCCGTACGAGAGCACGGTTATCGGTTCTACGAGCTATATGGCCGGCCCATCGCCACTTCAGCTTGCTAATCCTCTGAGCTATATCGGTTATCTTGGTTCTACTGCGGATATCTTCGTTACGAACTCTATCACGCAGAGAAATACCGAGCATAGCCCGCTCAAAGTCGCTCGCTGAGCGACTTTGAGCTTCCTCATACGGGCCAGCAGTGAAGGACCACGTCTCGGTTCCGTAGGTCATCACTGGCAACACACATTGATTGAAGACTTTAGTCTTCAAACATTGAGGTATATTCGACGAGTCATATCCCCGAAACTCTTCACCGTGCGTTGGAAGATATTTTCAAGCTTCTGGACTGTAAAGGACGAGGTCTTAACATCAATGGCGAATACATCACCCACCTTCGATTTGCCGACGATATAGTCATCATGGCAGAATCGCTGGAGGACCTGGGTGCTATGCTCAATGACCTCAACAGTGTCTCCCAACGGGTGGGCCTTAAGATGAACATGGACAAGACGAAGATCATGTCTAATGTCCATGTTACGCCTATACCGGTTGTTGTTGGGAGCATTGAGCTCGAAGTTGTTGACGAGTACGTTTACCTAGGACAGTTAGTCCGGCTAGGTAAGTCCAACTTCGACGCAGAGGTCAATCGGCGAATCCAACTCGGATGGGCAGCGTTCGGGAAACTTCGGCAAATCTTCTCGTCGAATATACGTCAATGTTTTCTAACTTACTGTTATAAAACTATATATAATTCATTTTTAATCATATTAAGAGATATTTCAAAAATTTTTATACTGCTAATCTCTGCACTTAAAATGAACCATTAAAACTTGTAGTTAAAAAAATTTACGAAAAGTTTTTGTGGGCGTTTCGGGAGACTTGGGGTCGATTCCCGTAACGACGAATAACATTTCAACCATTTTTAGGATTCCGTATCCAAAAAGTAAAAAGGGTCCCGCCCTATTGCTAAAACTCCGCTGTCTGTCTCTCTCTCTGTCTGTCACCAGACTGTATCTCAGGAATCATGATAGTTAGACAGTTGAAATTTTCACAGTTGATGTATCTCTGTGGCCACTATAACAACTAAAACAGAATAAAAAAATATTTAAGTGGGGCTCCCATACAACAGACATGATTTTTTGCTGTGTTTGTAGATTATGGTACGGAATCCTTCGTGCGTGAATCCGACTTGGCTGATCCGAATCCTCGCACATGGCTGATTTTCTTTATTTCTAGAGGTTTTTAATTTAAATTTCATGTTACAGAAATGTATGGAACCTGGGTGGGCACCATGTACACTATAAATTATAGTAACTATTTAGTAATGTCTTAACTTACACAATTTAACTTATTTTTATTTTACTTAATATAAATAAAAGAAAATAATTGATATGTATTGTCTGACAAGTGACAGTATCAATGTTCCTAAGTGAGGATACCAATGATGACAAGTACCAGGTTAAATTGAACTCTAAACAATAATGAAATCTTAAAAATGTTGTCTTGGCAGCCATATTAAAAAAATTCCCTGAATAATCTGTATATATCTTCCAATTAATTTAATATTATTTTATAAAACTTCTTCATTTTTTTCCCTATTTTCTATGTATTGCACATTGTAGTGGCCCCAAATGAAACATCTTCTTTTAAAAAAATAACTAGATAAAAGGTTAATTTATTCCCTTACTATTTCATTAATTTAAACAGTTTACATTTCATACATCTTTACATCTTTTAATTTAACAATTGAACCCAGAATTACTGAAACTTTGGAAGGATAGGATACGGATATTGAGGTTAGCTTTACTGATGGAAATGTTAGGATATTTATTGTTACAATTCTATTATTATTACTACTAACCTTTATGCACCAAGCTTTGCCACCGCAGCAACGGTTATGCATGTCTTGGTCGGGTCTAGTGAGCACTAAGCATTCTGGGTCTATCTGATACTGATTTTCCATTTCATCTTCATCTGAACTGTCGTAGAACTCTCGTATCATTTAGTACCTAGTTTAATCCTAAAATGAAAATTTCTTATTAGCTTTCACATAATATCAAGTAAGAAAAGCAGGCCACTGGAATTATTAAGTCACATGTAACCTGTGTAAAATATTCATAAGGATATAGCTAGCAAATAAAAATAACAATAAAAAGAAACATAAACAATTGACATGAAGCATGCAATTATGCCACACATTTGATATAGAACATTTAAGGACAAGTAGTTTATTGTTTATAGTGTTTCTAGTATTATGAAATTAATATTAGTGCTATTAAAAATTAGGAACCAATAAGATAATAAACAAAATGTAATTAAAATATGCATAGTGTCATGCAAAAGTAATTTCAAATCAGAGAATTTCGCAGGGCAATATTAATACTCTTACAAAAGCAACTGGCAATACAAAAATACCTTATAGTAAGTATTTTGATATATATAATTATACAGTGTTTTATTTCATGATTAAAATAACTATAATAATTAAAATACAACCAAATAAATATTGAGTTATGACTATTCCATAAATTTTAATAAATTATGACGTCATAACTGTTTCGGAAAAAATATTATAAAACTTTAATTATATAACTAGTAATTGCTCCGCATGGTGTGTTAGGTTTAGATCAACTACCATATAAAATTATACACATTTGTTACAGTTATCAATTTATTTATTATATGTGGCATTTATTTTATATTTCTTAGAAATTTGGATTGCAGTGGTAGATTATAAAAAAAACTTAAGTGCAAACAATTAAATGTAATTGTATGATATTAACGCTTCGCAAGCAATATACAATAATATTAAGTTTTAAAAAATAGGTTAGGCCAGCAATAACGACAATATTATGCACTCCTCATAAAGTAAAGAATAACATCAATTTTACAACGTACACAAGTGTCCAAAGCTTACGCCAGCAACTGTTGTGATTTAACTTTTAAAAAACTTTACCAAATACGCTAAACATACATATATTGCAAAAACAATTTGCCCACCTGATGAATTCTTTTAAAAATTATAGTCAACCTAATTTGAGGGTCAGGGTCGCGACAGCACAAAAATTTGTACAAATTTCATATTAAATTAAGTACTAAAAGATATTGAAATCCCGTACATACAGCGATGTAGTCACTTTGATTTCACACTCGCAGTTTCATTTCAGAGTTATTTCGTTCAAAATCAATAACACCATACGAAATCGCTCTCTCACTCTCGACCAAACTTAGTGGTTATATTCTCTTTGCTCGACTAATAAGAGCTTCTTTACCATAGATAAGACCTGACATTAGCGATGGGCGTTGAATCATCAAACTAGTTGAATCAACCGTTCTATTGTTCATGTATTAACTTTAACGGTCCATGAAATCAACTAGTTGAATCCATTAACGTCGTATTGAATATGTCGTTAATATATAGTTTAATAATATATATATATATATATATATATATATATATATATATATTATTAAATATAGTTTTATGTCGTTAAATAAAATCAACTCTTTAAAGTTAAGGCATTTAACGATACGTTAAGGAACATAAGCGTAACGAACTTAATAAATTAAAAACCTTACGTTGAAAATACGTCACAGAGTTCAAATGTTTGTTTAATTTTATGTAAAGCATGTTTAACTTCGCTTTCCTTAATATTTGTTTGACGGTTTGTGAATAGTTGCGCAAGGTCAGAGAATATTTTGAGGCTTAGCTTAAATATTATCAGAACTTTACTTCATGTTTAGTAATTTCTTTTTTTGTGAATTTATTGATTTTAGAATATTTATATTTGGAATTTTACTTCATGTTATTTGTTTTGTATATAAGAATATTACTTTGACTGATGTTTTTTTTGTAAATTTATGAATTTCAGTGTTTTTTTTTTTTTAGATTTTTAAGGCTATGGGCTGGTGGTAAGGTAAAATTTAAAAATGTTGTGCTTTCATCCATTTTCATATATATATGTCACGATAACTAGTTGACGAATTTAACTTGTTGATCGACTAGTTGACGAACATGAATCAAAGGTAACGTTAAGTTGACGAAGATACCTTCAACGACCCATCCCTACCTGACATATGTAGTTATTGAAACTGTTCTGTACTTAAGTGACGCTGACGCATCGAATCGTTATTTTTTTCAAACTAATCGTCTATTCGATGTTTCATGTTATGTGTCTCAAATGTAATTCGTTCGATATCATTTAATGAAAAATCTTGACACAACTAATGTAGTATGCATAATAAACTAATGAATAATGACCGTCACGAATATAATGGTTATAGATATATGCAATATTGACTAATAAGTTACATATTTTTTATTACGCTTGTTAATGAGGCATGGCTTTTAAAAACTCCCAAACTCATGGGTTCGGGCAAGCCCACCGGTTCTGTGTCAGATGAAGCTGTAGTAGTCTCGAGACTGAAAGCAAAAACATCAGTTAATACAAGGCAAGGTTTTAAAAACTAAATCTTAACACTATAATATTGAATGATTCTATTTTCAAGCATCTGTTCAGTTCTTGTAAAACATTCATCTTTTTTTAAAAATACTAGTTGTCGCACTATGGACCAAATTGCATAATTAATTATATATGGTAGTGTTGGTAATGCTTTTTTTATCGATTTAATGTATTTTTTATTTATAATTAAAAATATATTAACATTCTGCACTCCTACTCTATATAAAATATAACTGTGGGAAATTTCATACCGCGAATGGAGGATTCGCTCAATTTTCGTAAAAAGGGGTACAAAGTTTTTCTTCACGTGGAAATAGATAAGATTTCCGTGACAATTTGGCACTTTGGGTTAAATGTTTGAGCATTAATTACATATTAAATCGATTTTTTGACAGTTATTTCGATTTTTATATGAGAGCTTCACTAACTGGATCGATATTATCTAATTTCCATCCATTTTTCTAGGATAGGCAGTAACATTGTTTGTAAAATGCCCTTATTGCCATTGCTTTGGTCCTAAGAGAATTAGTGTGCAAATAGGCCTTTAATTTTTCCGAACTATCTGCCACATAGATGAACGATTTGTCACACGTCACGTAATATATAGAATGGCACGTTGATTAAATATTTAACGTAAAGAATTTTGACTCTTGTAAAGATTAAGAGAGCATTTTGTGACATACAGCTTTTAAAATATCACGATAAAATAATAGAGGGCAGTACTTTTATTTTCTAAATAAAGTTATAATCAATTTACATCTTCGAGATACTGCAGAAGATACCATATTGAACAATGCCACCTGTAAGTACAATTGAATCGAAATAATTTTACTTTATTGGAACCTATAAGATAAATTTGTTATAAGAGTTATGAAATTCATTCCTTCACTATTACTGTAGATTTAGTTATTTCCCTTACTATGAATATGAAACACCTCTTAAGTGGCTATATTCCCAGAATTGTAAAAAAATGTTTCAGCAACAATTACGTAAATTTGTTACAAAAATAATATTTAACTAGATTTATTAATAAATTAAAAATAATAGCCATCTTCCCTATCCTGACTCCTTTAATTGACTTAATAATACTACAATGTTTAAAATTAGTAAATATTGTATTGAATAAGTAATGTTTCATAACCATAACTGTTGCGTTAACCCTACTTAAAATCACTGATGATATAAAACTAGGGATGGATGCTAAAAAAGTAACAGTTATGGTGCTTGTGGACTTCTCTAATGCTTTTAACACAGTTGACCACAATATTCTTCTTTCCATTTTTACCCACTTGGGTTTCGTGCCTCCAATATTAGATTGGATCTCTTCTTATCTTCGCAGTCATCAGCAATTGGTCTAAGTGGGAAAAAGTATTCTTAATGAACTGATCTTGATTCTGGTGTCCTACAAGATGGTATACTATTACCCATCATTATTTCAGTCTTTATTAACACCATCACATCTTGTATTGATTGTGCGTACAATCTGTATGCCCACAATTTCAAATCCACATTCAATCTGACATTGATAGTATCCAAAACGCGATTTCTACTTTAAATCTAAATTTTGATTGTATAAATAATTGGTCATTACATTTTTGTGTATCTGTCAATCCTTCAAAATGACAAGCCATATTAGTCGGAAGTGCTTAATTGTTAGCTAAAATTGACACTGAAGGCCTGGCCTGCCTAGTGGCCAATACAACAATAAAGTAATTCCATTTTCTGATACTATCAAGAACCTGATCATGGTCAGCACAATGAATTGGAGAGCACAAATCACCGAAATCAGTTGCATAGTATTTGGTGCAAAACCTACAAACTCTACCATTTGAGGAATTTTTTACCTTTCAAAACCAAAGCAGACACCACATTTGGCTTACATTTTTAATAACTGTATAGATTCTGGAATATTTCCAGATCTTATGAAATTTAGTAAGATATTCCCCGTCTTCAAAAGTGCGGATAAAGATGATCCAGGTAACCATTATAGACCATATAACCATAGACAGACCTATTTCCATATTGCCATCTCTAAGTAAAATATTTCTGAAACTAATTTTAAATCAACTAGTACATTTGAATATGAACAAAATTTTTCATGATGAGCAATATGGATTCACTAAAGGCAGATTGACAACCTATGCGCGTGTCGCACTTGTTAAGCATATCTATAACGCCTGGGAAAGGTCACAAGATGCGATAGGTGTCTTTTGTGACCTTTCAAAAGCCTTCAACTGCGTAGATCACAAAACCCTTCTTTGCAAGCTAGATTATTATGGCATTCGTGACAGCGCCCTCAATCTCATCACCTCTTACCTTAGTAATAGAATTCAAAAAGTATCTATAAATGATGTTAATTCCACAGGGTCCAATTCCAATTATGACGACGTAAATGGTGCACTTTTGCATATCCTTCATTGGTTCTTCACCATAAATAATATGGTATTAAATGCCAAAAAAACTAAATGTATTCTTTTTACTCTTCCTAGTATAAGAAGGCATAGTTTTAGTTTATTATTAAATAATGTATCCCTCAATCCTGTTGAGTCTGCAGTTTTCTTGGGGATTACAGTAGCTTCAAAGCTTCAATGGAGTCCTCATCTATCATTGCATCTATCTTCTGAGTAGGCTAAGCTCCGATGTTTTTGCGATTAGGAAGGTTAGACAGTTAACAGACATCGACACTGCCAGACTTGTTTACTTTAGTCATTTTCACAGCATCTTATCGTACGGCATTTTGTTGTGGGGTAGTGCATCTTATATAAATTCTATATTTATTCTTCAAAAAAGAGCTGTCCGAGCAATCTATAACATCGGAGCCCGGAATACACTCAGAGATATTTTTAAAGATATTAATATACTCACTGTTGCGTCCCAATGTATTTATTGTAATATCTTGTACGTTAGACATAATCTTAATTGTTATCTAAAGAATAGTGACAAACATAAATTAAATACTAGAAATAAGGACAAATTAATTAGGCCATTGTTTCGTCTACAAAAAGTAAATAGATCGTTCATGGGGCAAAGTGTGCGCATGTATAATAAAACCCCACAATCGGTATTAAGTCTGCCACTAGATGAATTTAAACGCAAAATTGAAAGCGAACTTATGGCTAAGTCATATTATACCATTGCAGAATATCTTGACGACGCCAATGTGTGGGGTTAATGCTGTTGATACTCACGTAGGCTAAAATGACATACTTGTTGTATTATATTGTAAACTAATCGTTTTAAAAAAGAGCAACTGTTGAGTTTCTTGTTGGTATCTTCTCAACAGAAACTGCTTTCCGAACCGGTAGTAACTTATAAACGTATTAATTTTTATGTAAAATTTTTGACATTTCTTAAGAACGCGCAAGCGTCTATGTGAATAAATATATTTTTGATTTAGATTTTTTGATTTTGAGAAACTTATTTTACCCATTTTTGATTATGTGAATGTGTGTTACCCAGATTTAAGCAATGATTTTCTGAACAAGCTAAAGCACCTTTTTAATAATTACATGAAACATGTATAGAATCTTAGAAAATATGATCATATCTCCTAATATCGCACTCAGCTTAAATGGCTTAATGTTCAAAGCAGGTCTAGAATTCTAATTAGAAATACTTGTTCTTTCCTCGATTTTTAATTCCGGCTTGTCCATTATATCTTAAAGATAATTTTCAATACATTTCATTAAATTGTAAGGGATCTCAAATCTTCATCTAATAAGAAAATCAGAATTCCCCAAATTGTATCTACTTCCTAACTCTTACTTCTCTACTTGGTAACTCTTTCCCCATACAGCCTACACTACTTTAGAATTCCTTGCATGAAGAGGATTCCATACGAAGAGCACCTATCTTTATATGTATGTGTTTATAGTATATAAATATATATAATTTATATGAATATGTTTATGTTTATTTTATGTATATTAATTTTTATGTAAAATCTTATACATATTGTGGTTTCGGATTCAGCATTTTTTTTGCAGATCCATATTGTAAAGTCCTTTCTGTATTACACCTACCACAATTTCTCGTCACGCACCCGGTTGACATGCAGACAATGCCAATAGGCATTAAGTCCAACCTTTGTAACTCTTTTTATAAGATTTGTCAATAAAAATAAATAAAATAAAATAGACCATAGAAATATTCACTAAGGATGTTCCGATACTCACAATGTATCAATACATACTCATACAAGTATTATTAAAAATCATTTTATACTACTCATAAGTAAAATGCTTTTTTTACACTTGTTTTTTGGTACTATCATTGTGGTGTGGCTACCATAATATTATGTTGCATCTTCCACAAATGCACAACTAATCTTGATTACTAAATGCTAGAACATTTAATTTGAAGTATTTGTGAGTTACAATTAAAATTTTTTGCAGCCACAAAAAGGAAAAACTCCTACAAAAGGTGCCAAACAAATTTTGGCAGAAAATGCATCCACCGTACTTTTTTATCGTAATATGTCACTTGGGGCAGGCGCATTTTACAATACATTTTTCTACTTTTTCTTCTATGAGCAAATGTCAACCTTTATTATGGTAAGTGTTTATGTGTTAGTTACATTTGCCTTATTTTAAAGAGTATTTTATCTGAAATATACTTGAAACTGATTTTTATTCATTTTATAAAGTGTGAGTTAACTGACCTTCAAATAAAATTTATCATTTTGGGTTTTACTGCTGCTTGCTAAATCAACAGATTTTATCTCCGGTTCATGAATTCTCATTTAACATCCTACAGATCATGAACATATTGGTAACGGTGATCTACATCACCTGTTATCAATTGATGAGGTTTATCAGCAGACCTCATTTCTCATCAGATACCTCTCAACTCATTGACCCTGGCCTGGACCTTAACATGGAGGGAGGAATGGGAGAGTAAGTGAATCAAAACTAGTATAAATTACTATACTTATTATGATGTGATTTCTATTTTATTTTTAGCACTTAAACATAGTATATTTTTATTAAATTTTTGTACATTTCTGTTTATATTTAAAAATACATTGAAAACAGTGGCATAAAATGAGTTTGCATACAGAATTATCATGGATATTGGTTATATTTCAAAGACTTTAGGTTCGTAAGTAATTAATTACATTCATTTGAACTTATCTCAAAATGTGCGTGATATATACGCAACTCATTTATTTTACGCGCGATCATTCATAACTAACACGCACACAAGTTCGTTTGTGTGCGTTAACAGTAAAAGTAAGGTATTTATGAATGACTAACGCATTGTCAGCAAGTTCTGTGTTTTAGGGAATAGAATGGTAATTTTATTGAAAAAAATAGTTTGTTTTTATTTCAATAAATGATTGTACTACCGAGTCTGAACCTCCTGTGTAAATTTGGACACCTTTAAAAAGTCTCCCTGTATATTCCTTAGGATTGTCACTATGTAGAGGTTACTTCTTGATTACCAATGAAGCCTATTTGGGAATTCAATATTCAACAGTAAATTTTAAAATGCCTCATTTTTTTCAGGCACTTGAAAGATGTGGTCATACTGACGACTATGACTCACTTGATGGCACTCATCTCGGACTACTTCTGGGCGGCGCTTCTAATGATCCCAGTAAGGGCTTTCTGGCTGATCTGGTCAAACTTCATCGCGCCTTGGTTTTTTCAGGAGAACTCTGAGGACACCGAGCAGGACGAGAAGAAACGCAGGAAATTGGAGCGCAGAATGAAGAGGTTCCAACAGTAATTCTCTAAATGGCTCCTCCGTTGTTTTCGAATGATTCTCAGAAGAAATTACCTGTATGATTTGTCGTTTTAATATTTAATCTCCTTTTGCCTCTGTCTTGTTTTCTTTTGTTATGGCTTTTTTCTGTTCAATTTGTGTATTTATTTAGCCCTTGCAGTAAAGCCGTCGCGTTCCAAGTGCACCACCTGTTTATATCTCCTATGCAGTGGAAATGTTTGCTTTTGCAAAGAGCTTTTGAAGAGTGGTTTTCATTGCGGGTTCAAATCAAATACCTCTAAATGTTAATTATATGTAATATATGATTTGATAATAAACTACAGGTTTATTTATGTTTTGTTTTATATCTTTAAATAGTTTTTTATATATTGTGTCAACTGAATCTTTGTTAGAATACTTCTTGTGGTGGTAAATACATCTGTAATTAACTTCTTTTTTCTTCAAAAAGTCTTAATGATAACATTTTTTGTTTTGTTATCTATTTTTATTTCTTTTTGTGATCTAACTTTAAAAAATGTATTAAATAGTTCAAATGTTATAATCAAAAATAATTTGTTTCCCACCATAATTAAGTACAAATGTATTCCTTTTTTTAATTAAAAACTTAGTTATAATTATTTGTAATTAATGTTTTATCAATCGTACTACTTCTTTAATAGTAATCTACAAATAACAATTGTTTGTTATCTTATTATTTAAGAAAGATTAATATATATTATATATTAATCTTTCTTATATATATTATATATTAATCTTTCACTATGGAAAGAGTAATTTAACGTTCGATAAACTTTTCTCTTTTCCACACGATTTACTGCTTTACATTATACAATTTTATTTATTTACTTCGTCGGAGTTTAATAATGTATGTAAAGCGTCGCAATCAATTTAAAACATCACTATGTATAGTAAGAATTTTATTTTGTACTTTGTTACAAACAAATTATAATGAACAGTTTTAGACAAGGTATGTATATCTATATTTTTATCTCCTGACAAAAACTAGAAGACTAGCATTATCAGTAATATTCGTGCGTTTGTTTTTTTATACTAATTTCTTTTATAAGTTCTGAGTCATTCTCCAATTTATTGATTTCGTCCATTCCAAGGTCATTTGAGTTCATAATGACGTATAAGGATCTAGACACACTGCAAGCGATTATAGCTTAAAGTTACGGCTATAGAGCGCATAAAATAGTTATAACAGACGACCTAATATGTAGCTAACCCAATCCCAAGTACAAACACACGTATTTCTTTTTTTTTCTTCTGAAGACAGTCCTAAGAGTGTATAATCCGAGTGTATAAACACTAAGGCGAGACAAGAATTGTAATTTTTTCATTCTAAAATGCTTAATTTTACATTTCGTTTTTTGTTCCAATTGAGTGTTTAAACCCCTCCCCGTCAATCGCTCACAGATCTGGGAGCCTACGTTTAGTAACTATTGTTTTTACTTATCTCAATGTTCTATGTGCTTCTATTCTCTAATACTTTAATTATATACAATACTAATTAAAAGTTACGATTCTAAGACTGTTCGGGATTGATTTAAAAAAATCAATCACACGTTTGGGGATTCGCTTTAAAAACGAGGTGAGAACCTGGTTTTTACGAATTCGATGGTGGAACGGATAACTCTTGTAAGCTAGAGAATGCATTTGAATCTAGGATTTTAAGAAGCGGTCACAGCTTTCGCTAGGCTCACTGAAACAACTTTTATGACTATCGGGGCTCGTAACCCGTACATAATCGAAATAAATACTCGTTAGGCATAGTAACATGATTTAATCGTTGTAGTTCTATAAAACATGTAGCCAGCCAGTATTGGTTTTAGATGTAAGTAGTTTCGGAACAAGTGATCGCAAATAAGGTTTCACTAATGGTTCCGACAAACATAAAAGCGATACACCTTTGTCTTCTTTCAATAAGCTTCGCAATGGAGACACTTATGCAGGTTGGAGCTTTTCAGGAAACCCAATACGATGATATATAAGGCATTATGAAACATACAAAAATTATTACAATAATATTGGTTCGATGGAAAAAAAAATATTTTGAAGTTTAAATAAATCTTTGCGGTCAACTAAAAATATCACATGTAATTGTAATTACATCGAAATGAATAGGTACACTGTTTTAAAACAATTTTTCATATGTCAACCTCTGTACTTTTATTTATAACGAGTTCCACTACTTATCATTTTGCTCATTGCAATATCCATAATGTGATGCATGGAACGCCACTAATGAAATCGACCCGTAACGTTTAATAACTCAATGGACGTTACTTTGGTAATTTGAACTAGAAATAGAATATCTACTTTTCGTTTCCTGAATGTATTTGCTTTATATGGCGCACATTTTTCATTTCCCACATTTATCAATTTCCAAACGCACGTAATGTTTTAACGATCGCTTGTGTCGGAATGAATAGTCATTTAAGTCATAAATATTAATCATTACATATTAATGTTTTTTCTAAACGTAAACGTAGAGTAAGTTTTATTATTGGTAATGTAAACACAGGAGAATAGAACGGTACTGGCTGAATTAAAAATCAATAGCAGTTGATATATTCCATGCTCGATACTTTAAATATTATTATTAATATTAAAAACAAAATTTCCTCAGAAATGCCACAAACTTAAAGGTTATAATGTGCAATGACATCAATTACATCGAGAAATATAATCTAATTGAATCGACCCAACCAACTTTTCTGACTTTAGGAATTCGCATATTTATTACTTATGTATAGGTACCGCATATATCATTACCACAAACCTACACTATGTATTTGTAGTCATTTTTCATGTAATGAATTAAATGTGTTTATAATAGTAATTTGTATTTTATTTTCGACTAGCGACCCGCCCCGATTCCGCACGGGTACAAAGTAGTTATTGAATTTCTAGGCTTTTCTCTACTATAATATGCACGAATACACCTGCTTGAATCACGATCTATTTTAAAGATTTAAGCGTACAAACATCCGAAGAGACTTATTTTATCCTATGTAAAGAAGATTTCAATGTTCTTCGAAGTTCTTTTAGACGACAAAATATTGGTACTAAAAGAACCAGGACTAAATTACAAAATGCATGAATAAAACCACAAGCCTTGAAAGGTTAACAGTATTTGCACATCATTTTTGTGAAGTTAAGTAATTCTCCAACTTAATCTTTTAGTTGCTTAAGCACCTATTACTCCGAAGCCATAACTCTTACAATTTTCCCTTTATTTTTTAAAAGGATTAAGTTAAAAATAAATCGTATCTACTATTTTTAAACGGTTTTATTTAGCTCGACCCGTACGGAATTTGTTTGTTTATTTATTTGGGTCAAAATTAGAAATTGAAATTTAAGCACCATGCCGTTGTCAGATTGATCTGAAATTTGGTACACACATTTAATTTAGATGACAATACAATATTAACAAAAAAAAATTTAACAAAAAAAAAACAAAATAAAACCGTTTAACTTAAAAGTTTTTTAAAGTAATTATTGGAATAATAAAATGAAATAGCGGTAACTCATGTAGATACAGGAACTTTCTAGTGGCGAGCCTGTCATTGTACTATAGGCACAAATGTCAGAGAGTGCTTTTGCACTGAAGAAATCCAAAAAGAGTATGTAAAAACCTCGAATTCGAACTCTGATCTCTGTGTGCAAGTTTATATTTATTTTTGCCATGAAAAGATTGCTTCTTTTCATGGCAAAAATAAATGAATGGGTGGATATAAGACCTAATTTATACCAGGTCCTGAGGTCTATAGTCCCTAATAGGTGATTAAAAATTAAGGTTAACACGATAAAAAGATATAGGCCAATGTAGATTTTCGCGAAAACTTGTAAATACCAAAATTAACCTTAATTTTCAACTTTCTTTTATTTTTCGGAGCTTTCCCTTTACTTGAGCTGTAATAAGAAAAAACCTTATAATTTTATATAATAAATTTTATTTAATAAACGTTCATGTGAAACTTATTTCTGGATACATATAAACAAATTTAAAATAAAATATCTGTTAAAAATCGAGCCATCATCAAGCCTTTTACATTAATTTAAGTGCGAGCAATTTATCATAATTTCTTTTATTGTTTTCACTTAAGCAGTTGTTTAAAACCATTCGTCGGCGATAAAACAATATAAATTATCTCTATCTATTATGTATTCGCTTTGACATTTGAACTTGAAAAACCTTGCCGCTTTGACGACGGACACTCATTAAGGATGATGGCGCTACTTTTCATTTAACTGTTTCATTCTTTTACATTTTAAATAATCTTTCCTAGATACCAAATTTTGGTACGTATAATAATTTCGCGTTTCGTCTGGTAATGAGGTACTCGTAGTCTGGGTCCACTGAATAAAACGTTGTCAACGCATAGCAGATGTCCACGGGCGGCGGTATTCAATTAACAGGTGAATCGCCAGCTCGTTTGCCACTTTCTCACACATAAAAAAGTATCTATCACGCAAAGCGAATTTGTGCATCATCATACAGCCAGCAGTGACGGACCACGTCTTCGTATGTCATCACTGGCAACACATCCGCAGTAGAATAAAAATGGTAATGGGACGTCCATTTGCTCGTAGAACCGACAACCGTTGGAGAAGAAAGTTCTCGATTGGTTGCCTCGTACTGGCTGGCCATCGCAGTGTACGACTCCCCAGACTCCCTACTAGATGAGAGTCACGACCTGGGCTACGGTGCTTCCTTACAGTCTGTGATGTTCAGCAGTGAATTCAAACAAAAAATGATGTTGAAGTTGTGTGTGTTTGTTGTATGGGAGCTCATTAAATACTTGATTTTGTTTTTTAGTATTTATTATTATAGCGGCAACTTAGACACATCATCTGTGAAAAATTCAACTATCTAACTATCACGGTTCATGAAATATATATAATTATGAATAATATAAATTGTTTAGCATAACAAAGGAAAGTAAGTAACTAAAGGTTTTATCCCCTTGCCACTACTATTCGTTTGTAAAAAAAAAAAAAAAACATTAAATGACACTGATAATGGTTTAATTAAGTAACTTAGAATTATAGATCAATGTGCAAATGTTGTAATTCGTTGCTATGGTACTTAATACCTTGAAGCTTGTCGCGTTATAACCAACGTCATCATGTCGGTTTTAGCTGGAGGTGTGTGCGAGAATCGTAAAAGTTTTGCTCCTATAATTTCTTTCAAACACGCCTAAATAATTATAACGTCAATAAATTATATAAAAATTAAATCACCGTGCGCTCCTTAAACTTAATAATAGCA